TAAGGGCAGGCCTGTTCCTAATCTTTGGTAATTAGTACAGCTGCAACTCCTCAGGGGTGAGGCTACCTTCTGCATTATCTTTGTTTGCTTACATTCTATCCCCATCACAGCCCCCAGACATTATTGCAACTTTTCTGATAAAAACATTGACAATTTTGTCAGTCTGGATATTATCCCAGGAAAGTAGCACCTGTCAGTATCATAAGTTACCTTGGTTCAGACCAACAAGTCCACCTAGACCAACATTTCGCATCAAACAGGCCATTGGCAAACACTGAATGAAGAGCAAGAACACAGCAAGCAATTCTTCCAGTTGGAATTGGAAAATACACCCTTTCTGTCTTATTTTGATGAAAATTAAAAAATAAAATCCAAGAAAGGCATCAAAATATGTAAATAGTAGGGTTTGGTAACAAGAAGCCCTGCTTGGATGTCGCAAACATAAGCACAGCAGGGGTGCATCAGAATAAAACAGCATGTCTGCAGCATCAAGGAAATATTAAGACACCCTAATTATAAATCAAGGAGGTTGTTAACATGTTGCCATATCAGTTCCTCTGGCCTAGGTTGGGGAGAAGTCAGAATTGCAACAAGCTGTGGAGCACCACAGCAGTGACAGTCTCCAGATATCCTTCACCTACAGCTACTACCCTGCACTACGGAGCAGGTATCTCTGCTCAGTCAGTGCAAAAAGGCACAGTCCTCAGAAAATGACAAACCAAGAATAGGCTTCATTTTTTTTCTTTGTAATTCTGGCAGCAAGCTGACATCTCTTTAGCATACACATACTGAGACATATCCTCCTTACAGGTATCTTTTTATATACAGTATCCCTGCTTATGGAAATGCATGTCAGCCATCCTTTCACCTATTTAATAACCTTAGGTGAATTGCAAGTAACATGCCTCTAAACACTACCTTTTAAAGGCAGGAATAAATAACATAATTCAAAGAACAAATAATGGAATAATTATGATCTAATGTAGAAATATGTACTTTGGTATTCCTTAACAATAAAAACCTAAGTATAGACTTGCTCCCTAAATAGAGCCACCCATCAACACCTCTCAAAAACTCACTACTTTGTCTCTTACATGACTGTAGCCAAATTTAAAGCTCACCATGCTGATATCTAAAAACCTGAAAATGCAGCAACAGAAATAACTTTTTGTATTTTTATTAATTATATGAACTTTATTATGTGTCAATGATGCAGCCTAGTATAGTTCAAAAATTACAGCAATGCCATACTTACATGAACCAAATAATTTCTAATTACTTCATTTTTTTTTTAACAAGTCAATTATGAAATATCAGGTTCCTGGAAATGCAGTAAGTCAATTGCACTTAAAAGATTATAAGTTCTGGGTATAATCAGTGTCATATCATGTACTGAATGTACGACTTTCCATTCTTTTTCTTAAATTGTATTTATTAATTACTGAACAACATTTGAATTAACAATGACAAGGCACCTTAAATTCCCACTATACATAGCTTTACATTTTTTGGCAAATTTGGCTGGAAAAAAAAATAATGTTCAAAGCTGTTAATGTTTCCAGATTTAGCAGTAATTAAGCAAATGGTCATGCACTGTGCTGAACATGAGGGCCATGGGAAGTGATGAGTTTTTTCAATTATATAGGCAGCTTTCCATGTAGAAATTCTGTGTCAGTACAGTTTGTCCTTTCTTCTTAATATAAGAGGTAATTAAAAAGATTAGGAAAGACATCTACAACATTCAGTATCAACAGTGTAAAAGATGCACATCTGGCTTGTAATCAATGTGTTTAGCCTCTTATTGTTGCGGCAGTGAAGTTTCAAATAATATAATTAAGGTTGGAATTTATAAATATTTTTCTGAGAAATTTGTTGGGAGATGAGGATCTATCCAGCAGCAGAGTCTAAAGCTTTCCTAATATTATGGTTCTGGCTACAATCATCTGCCACTTTTGCTTGAATGGTATGAAAGAGGACAATGGGAGAAGTCTCATGAGTTCTGTGAGTACTATACCTAGGCATCTGGAAAAGATGTCCTTCCAGCTGATTGACTCTGCCATGATCTGGATAGCAAAAATTTAAAACTGAAGTGTTTGTGTATTACAAATAGACTTGTTTTGAAATTCTGTGTGCAATAATAGAAGGCCTAGGTTTGTTCTGAACATGTAATTTATCAGTAGAAAATAGAGTTCAAAAAGTTGCAGTGAATACCCAAATATCAGCTTAAGCAGCATTCCTTTCCAATGTTACCTTTGCAGTTTTTCTCCAATATACCAGGAAAAGGAAAAAACAAGTTAAAGAAAAAAAAGTCTTATAATTTCAGATAGATTACCATCACAATCAACCTGTCATGACCAAATTTCAATCTATCAGTTTCAATCTATACACACTGAGGACTCAGCTCTTTAGATTTTGGGATATAGTTATACCTTAAACACTGCAATGATTCCTACAATCACTGCAATGATTTAATGATTTCCTCCCTTTTTAATAATTTAGGTTTTAAAAAACCCCAAACCATTTACAGCAATTAATTCAGTGAATCTCAGTCACAGATAAATTTTGGTTCATTTAAGTTTAAATCAGACATTTCAGTTCATACTAATGAAATTCAGATAAACTACCCTGGCAGCAGGCCCATTGACTTCTGGCTGAAGAGTACACACAGCTGGATGTCTGTAAATCAGGCAGGACACAATTTCTGCATATAGGTTAATGACTGTCCTGCGTCACCAACGTGTAAGAGTACAGACACTAAGCCAGAGACCTCAAACAGCTTTTGCCTGCCTGGCAACTTCCTCATAAAAACAAAGCTCACTTTTCCGGCTGTATCATATTACATGATGTGAGCATTTGTAAAGTAGACTAGACTGAAGCAAAAGGGATAGAGGGAAAATTATACCCCTACTGATGTAAAGTGACTTAGGCTACACAGTCACTTCAAGTCACCACAGATCTGTGCTGACACCAAAAGGATCAGTTGCATCCTCTCCCTGTTGTTTCTCAATGCCACCATAACTCAGGCAGTAGAATTTGTACATATATAACATGAAATGAGCAAATCATCTAGCAAATTTCTTTCCTGAAATATTCCTTTCTGAAAGATTAGGATATGTTGTTACCAGAAATATTTTATATGACTATAGGCTTTATCTTTCTACAAGAAATACACAGACAAGGTTCATTAGTATCCATTACATTCTATAAACAAAATGCATTCAAATTAATCTGTTTTACTTGGCAAGTGTAGTTTTAAATCTGGTTGTGCTTATTTTTATCTAAAATCCAGCACTAAAGAAGACCCATCTGTATGACTGCCTTTAGTGGAATAACTATGGCCACCTTAAAGATGGCAGTCAGTAAAAGGGAAGTAGTAGGGAAGGCAGAAAGACATGAAGGATGATAACAGAATGATGCTAAATGCTAATGGTAGCATAACTATTGCTTGACACTTTGAATACAAGTTTGGGAAAAATTAGCCATAATATAGAATTTTTAAAGTATACAAAAAAAAACAGACAAATCCCACTGTAGTACCTGTTCACATTAAAACTTCACTAGGATAATGGTCAGCAGTTACTTTACTTTATCAGTTGCTACAAAAAGTTTCACAAGGACTTCCACAAAAATTTATCTTTCATTTATAGCCTTCTCCCCAAAAATTCAAAACTTTGAGCAACTGGTAATAAATTCCACTAAGCAAAATATGATTCTTGAAGCTAAAAATTCTCCAAAGCATTTATTTTGTTTTAGCATAAAGATCCTTAACCTACACTATGAAGTATGTTTCAAACACGGAGTGATTTCTAATAGTGATTTCAAGCACCTTAGATAAAATTACTATTTTTAAATGCGCATAGCTCATAAAAACAAGAAGTATAAATTTCTGGTAACAAGAAAGTATTTTTCATCATCTTTTTACAAAAAGCATTGTCACAACCTATTCCCCTGATTCATAGCACTGTTTTTCTGATTGTTGTTGTGGATTATAATAATAGGCCTCCTGCGGTTCTGTAGTTTGCAAACTACCAGGAAAGTAGCAAACAGTCTATTGCTATACACTTCTATTCTCTGACAGGTAATCTCTTTAAGCCAACAAAAAATTATTCCCACTTTAGGACGATATGTAGTCATTACCACCAAAAATCTGGCTCAATATAGCCTTTTCCATTCCTTGTCCACCATCTTTTTATCTTTTTATAATTCTGCAGAAAACACTATCTTCTAGGAAGTAACAATAGCCCCTCTATTTAAAATGAGAATTATCATTAGAACTGAAACCCCTAAACACCTTAGAGGTCAGCCACTGAGCACAACCAGTGTTTCTTCCCTAACCTTCTTGGTAATTTCCTCCTTTGCATTTTACCTGGTACATTACAATTCATTGTTAGAATTGCATGAATCTTATGTTTGCAGAAAATCTCACAAAATTTAAGATAATTACAAAATTTATATTTGTCAACACAAGCTGGCTCAAAACAAAGTTTCTGGGTCAGTTTAGCAAGGTATTTTACCTAATGCAACACAACAGAAATACCTCCAGAATTTAACACACTGAGTTATAACGTCTATGTCAACATTCTTATCTAAACTTGACTAAATTACATGTTGCAAGTAGGAACTTTTGAGATGGTATATCCAGTAATTTACTAAAGCATACTGGATAATTTTAATTCAAAACTTACCAATTTTTGATCCAAGAAAACCAAGTAATGTTTTCAAAATAGATACTAGAGGATGATGGACAGTATTTGCAATTCAAAATGGGTAAACTAAACTTCCAATATTAATATCAGCATATTTCAAAATAAAAATACCAAAAGGCTCAAAATATTTAAAAAATTGTTAGCCTATTTTGCCTTCAAAAACGGCAGAACCTAAACACAAAAATTATAATATTCAAGTTATACCAAAAGCAGATTTCCTTTTTAAATCTGAAAATAAGCTGTTCAAATGAGCTCTTCAAAGCTAAATTTTAATCACAAATAAAAAGCACTTACCTTCTTGTCTGTTATTTTTCCTTTTTAGCCATTTTTCCACAGTTTCTGCACTTACACTTTCTGACACAAACTCATCCAGTACCTGGGGGTGAAGAGAAAGATACGCCTTCACTTTTTCATCTGTTAAGCCTGAAAGAGAGAACATTAATAGATTACATTATTGGTGTGAACTCCCTCATATGAAGAAAATACCTGGAGACCAGCAATAATCAATATCCCTTTGTTTAACACACTGATTGAATATATGACTACTTAAATAGAACAGAGAGAGCAATATCCTGTCAAAAAAAATGAGCTGCACTGTAGAAAATAGTAGAAGCAAAGTGTAGCCATAGAAGATACTGTGTACAAAGTCCCCTGAAGGCATACACATAAACATTACCCATGAGAAATAGCCAGGTAGGAATTCATGACTATGGTTGTGACTATAAAATTATTTCCAAGCTATGCAGGATGTTATAGTGATAAAGAAACTGGTTAGAAGGAGATAGAAGAAGGTGAGCTGGGATGTCTCACAGAGCACCAAATTCAGTGCTCTCACTGCAAATGGCAGCAAAATCAACACAAAATATTATGGAACACCAAAATCATACGCAATTTTCAAATACTAGAATTACTTAAGTTACTTTAGATGTATAAAATGTTTTCACAAGCATGCTCCATCGCTTTAATAACTTAGTTATCAAAATGAAAACAATTGCAGATAAAATGTATTTATAATATCTGCAACAGAAAGAAAACTCAAGTAAACATTTCAGAAAAAGAAGAACTATTCAGAATCTCAGATCCCTTACATTCATAAATAAATTTTCAAACTCACGAAATTATAATCTGATTATGCACTTTGCAAATCCCTCAAACAAAATGACTGGCCACAGGCAGGTGAACTCAGCAGTGCTGAGGCTGTCCTAAGGGGGAAGCAATAAAAAGAGCCTGTCCTGAGGGACTTGGCTCCAGGCTACCATAGAGGAAATAGGCACCCCAGTGCAAAAGCCTTAATGAGATATGAGGGGAAGAGAAGTAACAACAACTGTAATGACTCTAATGAGATACGAGGGGAAGAGGAGCAGCCACCACTTCAATGACTCTAAATAAGCCATCTTCTCTTGTGTTTTACATTTTTAAATATAATAGCAAATTCTCCACAGAAAGCTGCCAGGTCTCAGCAGAAAAGAAACTCCCCCTGAACAACACTGACCTCTTTCAGAGAGGTAAAAAATGAGATCAATTCTCCTATTTTGTGCTCTTTGCACAGTATCAGAACGTGATGATTTAAATGCTAGTCAGTGATGGTAAAATTTAAGATTTCTTACAAATGTTTACTGTGAAAGTCTTCAGGAAGCAATACCAGAAGACAACCAAACAGCTCTCATCTGCAGACCATCAACCACCTACACAACTTTCCCTACACCAGCTGCACCACATCCCTCACTCACATCAGCCCCCAACAGCTCAAAACTGCTTTAAACTACCCTTCCTTTTAATCCAGAGGTGCAACTCCTGCTGGATATCATAACCTCAAAGAGCAAATCCCCATACATGAATCCTGATTTTCGTTAGTGAAGAAGAAAAGGTATATCATAAATCAGTAAGACAAGTAGACAATCAGCAAGAGGGGTAAAAACAAACAAAACCCTACTATGTTGATAGTTTAACCTTAGGTGAAAGCTTGTAGAGGTAGATCATAATGCAGCTATAAAGAAGTACAAGTGCGAAATGAACAAGATAGAAAAATGTAGACCCTTAAAAAAGTATTTCTAATTTCATAGTGAGAAAATCTGAAAAGGAAACATGTTTTAAGAATCATTCAAGAGAGTACCACATTTTAAAGATTTAGCCATCAAAATGTTACACTTAATCAAAATTTATCTGCCCTTTAAGTTAAACACTAAAAATGATCAAAACAGACTTGTCATAAAATGTCTGCTATTTTCAAGTTGTCTTTAGACTGCAAAAAAACCATCTTTTGCTTCTAGTAAAAAATTATGACCCAAAAAGATTGTAGAATTAGCAACTGGAATTCTGAAAGGACTGATCTGTTTCTTCAGTGAAAATAACCTTTCTTTCTTGATTCAAACCTTTAAATGTTGTGGGTTTTGTAAAACATACATCAGAATTCAATAAAATGTTAATTTGAAATAAGATTTCAGTCTACAGGTCTCAAGTTTAATATCCAGATATTATGCAACTTCAGCAACCTAAAGCTAAAATCTCTGCTTTAACCTTATACAGAAAAGTAATTCATGGAGCTGATATAAGAATTCCTAAAAAGTCTTTAAATTACCCATCTTTATTTCACTAAAGGTATCTGCGCAGATGTTCTTTTTCAATGTGGGATTTGTAGATGGGAGCAAGAACAAGATTTACAACTATGTTTGTAGATTTAAAAAGGAGTGACTTAAACCTATTTTCTACATAGATTAAGGCAAACTTATTGGTCAGCTCCCAGTTGTTAGCCTGCTGCATCAAAAAATACACCCTGCAAGCATACACACAAACTCACAACCAAAACTAACAATAACACATTGTAACTCCACAAAATGTAGAAATACAAGTATTTTCAACAAAATTTTAATGGTTTGTGTTTTATGTGCATTAAGGCTAAAAAGTGTTGTAAAGATGCCTGAATGTAAGAGCATTTTACAGCTATGCAGAAGCAATTATTTTATGGCATATGGAAAGCCTTCTTGATTGTAAGATGCACATCAGAATAAAGTTATTGCATAACAACATGCACACACTTGCCCTCTTGAACATTCACATGCTCCTGAAAACTTCCAGTACATGTATTTTTGTTAAATATTATTAACCTCTCTATTTGACCTCTCTATTGAAGCATTGCAATCCCTTAATTCTGAAAAATGCAAAAAAAACCCCACTATTTGAATATTTAGAAGCAATGATTATTAACAGTTACATAAAAAGGACAATAACACACCCACACTCAGGAAACTGAAGTTTATCATGCCACTCAGGTGCCATTTACAGAATAACAACAAACATAACACAAGCCAACGCTGGTTATTAATTTTTCTGTTACTAATGTGTTGGTCCTAAATATTTGGGACAGCAAACTTTTCTACATTCACTCACATTAGAAATATTTCTCCTCTACTACTTCTCCCCTCACTGCTACTTCCCATGACTTCCAGTAATGCAAGGACTTCTCTCATTCTTGTTCATCATTTCTTGTGTGGAGCATCAAGTGTATGCGCCAACAGTGCCTAGCAAAGGAAAAGGCAGCAGTGCCCACATTCTTAACTGTGTTGGTCTATACACTTCCTCCCAAGCAGCCCAAACAAAAACTCCCCTCACTTCATTTCATGCATCCCCAGAAAGCACCACCTCTTGTATTTGGAACCCATCTGTCCTCTGACAGAGCTGTGACAGTCACCAAAAGGGACCATCACTCAGGAGGGCTGAACTCTGGCCACTCAGCAGGCCAGAAAGCACAGAAAGACTGGAATAATTGCTCTGGGAATTAAAGGAGGAATCTGGGATTTGATTTGGATGTCCATTCATTCCATTTATGCAGTGGAGTTTGCCCTCCATGCACATATCCTGTTTAATTAAAAACACGCCAAATCAGCTTTCTCTCTTGTATTCTTATTTTAAAATTATCAACTCACATTTCAGTGCTGCTATCTGACACAACTTGCTGTTGTTGTGTTTTATGCACACATTAACTATTTGTTCTGAATTTGTAACTTAAAAAGGAAGGATACACACATATCAGATAAGCTCTTCCTCTTTTCATTCCCCTCTGAACAAACTCAAGCTACAGCTGCCCACCACTTGGGGCAGCCCAGCACTCACTTCCTGACCACCACACCCAGCTATGTTGTGCAGATCTCAATTTAAAATGCTCTCTTTCGCCATGTCATCTGCTTCTGTGGTTTATAACTCCTTCATCCTTACTTTTAAGCTTTCTTGATCTCCAGCAATGAATATGAGGGAAAATTGCCTCAGCTGAGGTTGATTGCCTGCTGGGAACCATCCCTGACCTGACCCTACTACAGAGCAACATTTGAGACCTGCCCAGGACATCACTAGCTGGCTTGGAAAATGCAATGCCAATAACCATTCTAGTACATAAGAATGCTCCTTTACACTATTTACTTACTCAGATGTAGCAGAACTGGGTTTAAAAATAAAACAAAAACCAAAAACCTTCAAACATGAATTATCAATAATTATTCCTCGCCTTTGAGCCAGAATTCAACAGCCTTTCTTTGGAGAAAAGAAATTATAAAGTAAAAATCACTAGACAGTCATATTTTTGCTTTCATTTTTTTATGCTGCCTAAAATATTTTTAAAATTTCTTAGATATTAGATAACCTGTGTAGTACTAAATCGATTAATGGCTCTGCTCTCTGACTCTTAATCCATGTCACACTGCACTCTCCTCTGAGAATAGCTTCACTGAGCTCAGTATGAAGCAGAACTGACTGTGAATGAGCTGAAAGAATTGAAGCCTAGAGCTATGTTTAAAAATCTGCTCCATTTAGCAACATGAGTCACACACGTCATTAGCAATTCTTGCAATTTTTTCATTAGTGTTGCAATATTTGGTCTTTTTTCTAAAACCACTAACTTAATCAAACCTCATGATTAGGCAAGAATTTTAATTTTCACCTAAATTGTCTGGTTCCCAGTCTGGGGGGCACAGGGGGAGTCAGGAAAGAAGGGGTAAAAGCTGATGAGCCAGCCTAATTCTTACCAAGGGTCAGTATTTTATCCTTGAGCAGCTAATCTCTGAAAGTCTGCAGTCATTGCTTCCCTCCAAACCCTTTTTCCCATTTAGACAGGATCCAATTATTTGAAAACACATTGTGAGGATGTACACTGGTCCTTGTATGAAGTCAGGTACATTTTGTATATCAAGAAGGCTTTTACCAATAAACACAAATGGAAATAACTATAAATACTGTCAATGTTGCATCTGTTAACAACAACAACAACAAAGTAATTCGAACAAAAAAAAATACTATAATTAACTTGTTTGGTTTAATAAGCAATTCTTCCCTGAAATTAGAGAGGCCACAGAGTCACAGTAAATTTAGGCAAAGTCTTCATTTCTCCAAGTAGCTAAAAATGCCTAATTTGAAAATATTTTTTCTTATCTGAA